GTAAACATTTTCACACTCAGTCTTCTACATCAAACTGTCGCTCTCCCTGTAACTTCACCCACGACAACATGGACGGTAGGTTAATTTTCTTCACTGTTTGTTTCAGCTTTTTAGTTTATTTTAGAAACCTTTTTTTTCATGCTTGTGGGGCTTTGTTGGCATAGTTATGATAGGGAATGTTTTCAAAGTAAAGTACAAACTGCTTTACCTTTTCATTGTAACTTTTGACCATTAACAATATTTATTATAATTGAGCTCCTGTGTGTCCTGTATGACAACCACCAAAAGCTAAATGTACAATATAATTGATGGACATTATTGTCTTTCAGAGATGAGGATTGTAATGTTGGGAAAAACAGGAGTTGGTAAAAGCAGCGTGGCGAACACCATATTAGGAGAGAAACTGTTTAAGATCAGCAGTTCTGGCATCTCTGAAACAAGTGAATGTCGATCAGAAACCAGACGTGTTGATGGAAGAGACGTCACCATGATCGATATTCCTGGTTTGTTCGACACGAGTCGACCTGAAGAGGAGCTAAAGGCTGAAATAGTGAAGTGCATCACAGAGTGCTCTCCTGGGCCTCATGCTTTTCTCATAGTGTTTAAGGTGGAGATATTCACAGATCAGGAGCAGGAAGTGATCAATAAAATCAACCAATACTTCTCTGAAGAAGCTTTCAAGTCTGCAACAGTGCTCTTTACTCATGGTGACCAGCTGGAGGAAGGACAGACCATTGAGCAATATTTCCACAACAATCAGCCTGTGAGTGATCTGATGAAGAAGTGTGGAGGCCGCTGCCACGTCGTTGATAACAAACACTGGAAGAACAACCAGCCGTATGAGTATAGGTGCAACCAGTTCCAAGTGAAGCAGCTGATGAAGACCATCGATCACATGATTGAGGAAAACAAGGGAAGCTGCTACACCAACGAGATGCTACAAGCTGTGGAGAAACTGATACAAGAGGAAGAGGAAAAGATCAGACAGTCATCAGGAAACAAGACAGAGAAAGAGATCAGAGAGGATGCTAAAAAGACAACATCTGGGAGGCTTTTGATCAATTTCGCAGGTATTGCAACAGGTGCACTGTTGCAATACCTGCTAGGTCTTTTTAAAGGCAGCCTGATGGTTGGAGGAGCTGAAGTTTTAAAGAAAATGACTTTGGGAAAAATAGTTCCAGCACTAGCAGAGTCAGTAGTAGGGGGAGCAACAGAAGGAGCTGGTAAAGTAGCAGGCTCACTGATGGCAGCAGGTTCAATGATCGAAGGAGGTTTAACAGGATACGATGCCGCTCAGGAAGCAGACACAGTAAGCGAAGCAATGGATAGGGCAGCAAAAGCTGTCTTTAAGAAGTAAACTCTCTCTTTGAAGATCAGGAAGAACAAGCAGAGAACAAATCTGAATTAAAACCTTTAATCTGATTCTGAAGACGGGAAAGAATGTGTCATTAAAATGTCTTCAATTTTCTGACTCTTTTCTAAAGCGTGTTGCAACAGCTGCAGAGCAAAGTGCTTCCTGACTAAATAAAAGTTCAATCTTTTCTTGTTTTTAGTACAAAGTGCCTGATATGTTGTTTCTTACATGTATTATATACTGTGGCCAAAAACTACAAATATGTTGTTTCATGATCAAACTGGTCCTGGATGTTGAACCGTTCTTCTCTGTTTCCTGTTACAAAGTTAACCAGAAAATGTTTTTGTTTCTATTTACATCATTTTGTGAGACAATAATTGTAGTTATGTGTGGATTCAAATGTATCAACAAGACAAATCAAAACACGTCTGTGAAGGTTATAAAAAGACATTTAAAGAGATCTTTGACAATATCTATACTTTGTATTAAAAAACATACAATCCTTGGAATTTGACAACACTGATGTTAATCTCACCTTGTAGAGGTCGTTGATCCCGTCAAATGGAAGTAAGATCGCTGTGATTAAGTTTCATAAAATACAGTGTAACTAAAAAGTAAATACTAGCAAACAATATCTAACAAATACTTATTTTGATGATACTGATACTAATTATCTTTAATCTAAAATTGGTTGCTGGGTCATGGAGTGTTACTTCACTGTTCTGTCTTTTATTTTTCTCTTGTGTCAACGCAACTAATGTAATTCAAATGTTCTCTCAAAACCAAGAATGAATTGTCTTTGATACTATCATATATGTATATATTGATCTCAGAATTTTTCACATTATCTACATATGTAGTCAAAGCCTTTATTCCTTTGTACTACAGATCCAGGAGAATAATGTTTCTGTTAAACAGCCTTTTGTCAGCGACACTTATGATGTCAGTGTTAATTCTGAACTACATTTGAATCTCAACTTGATTCCCAAAACAGCAAATACCCGTAATTTGTATTATTTGTGTCTCAAAATCAAGTCAAATAAAGACATACTCCTCCTTGTTTTCACTCTACTTACTTACAGTTGAACAGAGACGCTGCCAATAACAACTGATAAATAAAATGTTCTGTCACTGACTAAACACTCCACCCTGAAAGGCGTAAGAAGCTGCAGCTTGATCCTTTCACTTTGACACAAAATGTACCAAGACTTTGATTTATCATTGTTGATATTTTTGATGCCTTTAACCAAACGCCTAATGCTACAGTGTATCACTGCAGTGTGAACTCACGCTACACAGAGTTATTAATCATATTTTACAGTGAATTTAACTGGACTTTAGGCTTGAACTGGACCTCGAGTCCCGCCCCCCCCCCCCTCCCCCCTCCGAGGAGAAACGAAACTTAAACCTTTGCTTCCTGCTTCCTTTCCTCCGCCAACCTGACACCTAAATGTCCGGCGTCCCGCTGGACCAGAACCAGTTCTGATGCTCGGTGTGTCTGGACCTGCTGAAGGAGCCGGTCACTGTCCCCTGTGGACACAGTTACTGCAGAAGCTGCATCGAGGACTGCTGGGACCAGGAGGACAAGAAAGGACAGTACAGCTGTCCTCAGTACCGGTGTTACGTGCCTACTGGTTTTTGAACCTACTGGTTTGTCTACGCGTGCGTGTTTTGTTTTTCCCCGACAGCGGCAGATGTTGTCTGCCTCAGTCACCTGATTCGTCACACATTCACAAACATATTGCTGAAAATGTTCAAAGGTCATCACACACGATCGTATAAGTGAGCACTACATCACTGCCACGTATGAAGAAATACATTGAAGAAAATAGATTTATTAAAAGATCGACGCAACCTGGATTCGATCCCCCGCGAGCAAAATGACAATACGTTACAAGACGGACGCGTTACGCCATCGGCCACTGGAGCTCACTAATGTCACTTCCGTTTCCTGTACCTATCATCACATTGGACATCGGCAGTGGCTAGAAAACCATTTGGTTCAGAGGGAACCAAGACATCTGGTTTTGGTGGCGTATCGTTGAACACTTTGTCGGTGCTTTTTCGTGATGCTTTAGACTGTGAAAGTACTCAGTAACTATTAACACTAAGCACAGAAGGCGATTGAGATTAGTAATCTTCTATCCACAAAATGACGAAATCGACGTCATGATTTACAGCCAATGTAAACACTGCCTGACTAGAGTTTTCGTAGAAACCCTTAAGACCTTAATCGTCTTATAAGTAATTGTTTGATGGCTCACAATTTGCAAACAAATTAAAAAATCACCATGCCTGAATATCTACAAGAGCAAAAAGTCAGGAGCAATTATAATTGAATTACATTTATTTTGTCCATCCCAAAAACAAATTTTAGCATTAGAGGGCTTTACAATCTATACGACATCCTCTGTCCCAGGACCCTCACATGGAAACAGGAAAAATTCCCCAAAAACCCTTTTAACGGAGAAAAGAGGAAGAAACCTGTGGGAGAGCAAACCCGGAGGGATCCTCCTCCCAAGATGGACAGAAGTGCAATAGATGTACAGAATGATCATCATAAGAGCTACAAAACAGTCAATGCACAGAACCACAGAGGCAAGACCAGGGTCCAGATAGACCCATGATCCCTGGTGACCTGTGAAGAGACAAAGCACAAAGACTGATGGCTGGCAGGCAGTAGGTGCAGAGTGGACAGTGGCAGCAGTGATTGTAAATTTACACCGTATTATTACTTTATGACTTATCTCCCTGTTTGTAATGTTAGACTTCTCTGTATTTAGACCCTTTCAATTCCACCCAGATAAGACTAATGTTTTAGGACACCATGTTTTTAGCAAGATGATTATCAGAGGTGAGATGTAGTCAGGGGGGGTTCTCTCAAGTTCATTAGCACCCTTTTGATTGGGAAGATGTTTTGATGTTCAGATGTTGTACACTGGATCTGAGAAGAAGCATTGATGAGTAATATATTATATTTGTAAGATTACAGAACTGTCAGTTTAATCTTGCCCATGACTTTCGTCCCTTGACTTTGCTGTGCATCCCCACATTCTCTACATAGTTCTGTCAGGTTTTCTAGCACACAAGTCTGATTACTTTCTCAATAACATCTAAATGCAAATGACAAAAAAAATCGTTCACTTTGCGAGGGTCCATCGGTGCTCTTTTTGTTCTATAGCTTTTCGAGATATATTTCTACTGAGCAGAGGTCGCACCAACTTTGCAATTCTCCCTTCATACCGATGTTGCTAATTAACGTAATTGCTTAATCCCCGGTGTATTTTACGATTCCACGTCTGTAAAGCACTTTTTTAACGGTGTGGATGTAATGTGTAAATAACTGCACCAACACACATGTTTGGAAGTGTGCCACAACACGCCATCAAAAACCAGTTGTCCAGAACTAGTTGTGATGCAGCCATTTCCGCTTGACCTCTTCACCACTACCAACAACAACAACATCAACATTACGAGAAAGATGGCGAACGGAGAGCGAGGTGAAGCTACATCCCTCTACTATCTGTGCATGATGCTAATAGGAGCACAGGAAATGCGAATGGTGCTATTGGCTGATTTGATAACGGAGAGAAGACGCCGTCGGGATCTCAAGCATGAGCAAAGACGCAAAGTCCAGTTCCTCATCCGATTCACCGCTACATGCCGCAATAGTCGAACTACCAACTGGATCGGATCGATTTATCCAGGGGTGTTAGTCGGATCGTAGCCGGACTGCACATAGTTGGACAAAGGTGTTTACATGAAACAGATCATTCGATTTCAGTCGGACTAAACCAGTCATTCGAATCCATGTAACCACGCTGAAGGACCAATGCATTAATTTGTATTTATTATAAATATAACGCTTTCCCTAATTAAAACCAATACAAAAATAAAATATATATTTCAGGGAAATGAACTATGGAATTAAAAGTAAAGAAACAACATTTCTTAGAATTCAGTGTTTGTAGACCATTTTTCTGAATCATTGGAACTTCATTTTTGGATTCTGGGACAAGATGTGGCTGTGAGTCACTTGAGTTGGGATAGTATACCTGAAATCAGCTGCATCTTACTCATCCGTTGACGTAGCTTCATATTTATGACGTTTTAAGTGAAATACATACTGTGGTGAGCTCGGCCAGATGAATGAAACCGGAGACTTGACTTACTTTTACTGCCTTTCCCGTGTTTAGTGCACCGCACGACCCCAGGAGATGGACACTTAATTAAGGCGTTAACACAGAACTTGACCCACAGCCATACTAAGTTGGCTCATGGTGCCCACATTCTTACACATTAAACTAACAGTAACATTTGAGCACAACACAACAGAACCTAGAAAAACACACATAAACTCAAACACTAGAACATGAACGTAGCAGATAGGGATTTAAATGGATCCAAAGATTGTCCCACAATGCAATGCGCCTACCAGCGCAGCCAAACGCGCTACTGTAGCGACTCTCGATAATGGAACTCGAGACATCAATGTGATTTTAATAGATTTATTTAGAAACGGGGAAACAGAGCTGCCGACTTTTCCAAAAACCTTGGCGTGAGACCGGGGGGGGGCACCACGAACACCGACGACGCGCTTTCTGCTCCGCCGATGGCAGCGCGATACCGAGCGCGTTGTAAACGTGTCCGTGGACAGGAAAGTGAACCTTACATTACTGTTGTGTTCTGGCGCCCCTCTGTTTCAATGGTAGTAAAATAAAAGTAAATAAAAAGGCGGGGGTGCAGTGAGTCGCGTCCAGCTCTGGAGCGAAAGCGGATGCTTGGCTGGAAAATGCCAGCGGGGCAGGCGGCCCTTCATTTTCTGTACTGCAGGTGGCAACCCAAGCCTGGAGTAACGCCGTGGTCGAAAAAGTGTAAAGCCCCCACTTGTTCGGCTCGCGAGCTACTTTTCACTTAACTTTTCAATCCGAGTCATGGCGATGTACCCCTCCTCCCGCTCGGGCAGCCCGAATAACAATAATTAGGAGCAGTAGCGGTAATCGAACGGAACCTTTGTTAAACATCTTGATGTTCGGCATCAACCTGCTCGTCTGGAAACTGTCATGAAAACATTCATGACGTCTAGTTTGAAGAAAACATGTTGTCCCAGTACGACGTGTGAAATCTTGTTGCTGAGCGGCCAAGCGGGTAGAAAATAAGAGTAGCTGCAAATGTATTTCATGTAATTCTAACACAGTAAATGCATATCATAGGAAATACAATTCACTAAATATAATACACATCACTTTTTAATTAAGGCAATTAAATCCTCCTGTGTTAGTGGTAATTAGAAAGAATTAGCATGCAAAATATGACAGTGGCATTAATAAAGATTAGCTGCTCACTGCAGAGGGATGAGTGGAACGGTGGACAAAGAAATAGACAAAAAAGGAATCGCAATGTTAATTGTTTTTTACTGACATTGTAAACAGATTTTAAAAAAGTGGATTTCCTGAATCACAGGTTTTGTTTTAGATGGATAACAAGTTAAAGCTGCTTGGTGAACAGTCGCACCGACTTAACTTTTGATTAGTTCTTTTAAAGAAAGGAGCCACATCGTGGACTGGGAGGAGATCATGTGAAAGGGAGGAGGAACGGTGTGTCAAGGTGACAAACCTATTCAGAAGGGAAGATTCAGGAAATGCTTCCACACAGTCGCTCTCCTGTCACTCCACCCTCAACAACATGGACAGTAAGTTCATTTCTTTCACTGTCTTTTTAAAACTTTCTATTTCAGATATTTTTATGCTTGTGGGTCTTTTTTGGCACATTGCTCTTTTATCACAATAATGACTGTTTTTAAAGTATAATACTAGTAACTGCTTCCCCTTTTCATTGTAACTTTTTGACTAATAACAATATTAACTGTGATTGAGCTGATGTTGATCAACACGACTCTTTGCTGTCCTGCTCCTAAATGGTGGAACGAGCTCTCTGAAGACATCAGGACCACAGAGAGTCTTCACATCTTCAGACTGAAGACACACCTCTTCAGACTCTACCTCAACTAGAAAACACAAAACAAATTGTAGCACTTAAATTGTCCTTATGGCTCTTATCTATAGAAAGTTGTAAATCGGCTCATTTGATGAAATTGCATTTTGTTCTTGTTCTTCTGAGTTTGTTTCCTTATGGTTGAAATGCACTTATTGGAAGACGCTTTGGATAAAAGCTTCAGCTAAATGACATGTGATGTAACCAAAAAACAAGTGTAGAATCTTATTGATGGACATTATTCTCTTTCAGAGAGGAAAATTGTGATCTTGGGAAAAACCGGAGTTGGGAAAAGCAGCGTGGCGAACACCATATTAGGAGAGAACGTGTTCCAGATCGGCAACACTTTCATCTCTGAACCAAAATGCCAGAGAGAAACCAGACGTGTTGATGGAAGAGACGTCACCTTGATCGATATTCCTGGTTTGTTCGACACGGGTCGACCTGAAGAGGAGCTAAAGGCTGAAATAGTGAAGTGCATCACAGAGTGCTCTCCTGGGCCTCATGCTTTTCTCATAGTGTTTAAGGTGGAGCCATTCACAGATCAGGAGCAGGAAGTGATCAATAAAATAAACCAATACTTCTCTGAAGAAGCTTTCAAGTATGCAACAGTCCTCTTTACTCATGGTGACCAGCTGGATGAAGGACAGACTATTGAGGAATATTTCCACAACAATCATCTTGTGAGGGATCTGATGAAGAAGTGTGGAGGCCGCTGCTATGTCATTGATAACAAATACTGGAAGAACAACCAGCTGGATGATTACAGGAGCAACCAGTTCCAAGTGAAGCAGCTGATGAAGACCATCGATCACATGATTGAGGCAAACAAGGGACGCAGCTACACCAACGAGCTGCTACAAGCTGTGGAGACACTGAGACAAGAGGAGAAGGAAAAGATCGGACAGTCACCAGGAAACAAGACAGAGGATGAGATCATAGAGGAGGCTAAAAAGAGAGTATCTGCAAAGCCTTTGATCCATTTGACAGGTATTTTAACAGGCGCAATGTTAGGAGCTCTTCTTGGTAGCTTCCTGACGGTTGCAGAGGTTCTCAAAGTTCTAAACGAATCCCTGTCGGAAGAAGTAGTCAAAGTATTTTTAGTGATACCGTCAGGGGTACAAAGAGTCACAGCAACAACAGAAGCAGCTCGAAAAACAGCACTCTCAGTGATGGTGGCAGGTGCTTTAGGAGGAGCGATCAAAGGAGGTTTTATAGGATACAATGCTGGCGAAGAAGCAGCCACACTGAGCGAAGCAGTAAAGACGGCAGCAAAAGCTGTCGTTAATGTAACTGCTTTCTTCAAAGATCAGGAAAAAACAGCAAATTGGAATTAATTTAATCGGCCTTTAATCGTGTCATTAAAAATGTCTATTTTCTAAATAAACTATTGAGATGATGGTGTTCGTATGTAACAGGTTGAACTTCTTGCGTGAGCTTTCTTCTATTTTCTGACTCTTTTCTAAAGCGTGTTGCAGAGCAAAGTGCTTCCTGACTAAAGAAAGTTCAATCTTTTCTTATGCCTGATTTGCTATTTCTTATATGTATTATCAACTGTGGCCACAAACCACAAATATAATGTTGTTTCATGATCAAACTATGTGGTCTGTTGGATGTTGAATCATTGTTCCCTGTTTCCTGTTACAAAGTTAACCAGAAAATGTTTTTGTTTCTATTTACATCATTTTGTGAGACAATAATTGTAGTTTTCTGTAGATTAAAAAGTATTAGCAAGACAAATAAAAACATGAACAAATTGAAGCCTGTGAAACATATATTTACTTTGTAAAGCGACACTCCGACACACACACATCTATAAAATAAATAGATAATTTATATTGGTTCATTGGTTCAACAGGAAACCACAAAACATCCGACCAACTTTATCAGGGAAAAACCTTTTAAGAAAAAAAATACACACTTGTGACATAATGCGGAAGAGTTAAAGTCTTTATATAGAGATGCGGCTATTTTGATCTCGGTGTTAAATTAACACATTCTCAACAGGAGGGATGGAAAGTCTTGTACAGCGTTTAGCTGTACTTATTACTAATATAAATGTTTTGGGGAATTCATTGGTTGTGAAAAACACAAACCTAAGATCTAAATTACGAGAAAGGGTTATGTATTCAATACATTAGGATGGATTTCATTGAAATAGATCAAGGTAAAGAAAATAAATATTGGCTGACAATCACAGAGATGCTTTCCAGATTGATTAAAATGTTCACTCGTGGCTTCTTTGAGCCGGGCAGGTCTGAGGAGAAGAAGGGTCCTGAGAGGAGGAGGTGCACCACAGAGTGCGCTCCTGGGCCTCATGCTTTTCTCATTGTGCTGAACGTGGAGAGGTTCACAGAGCACAAGAAGGCAGTGTTGGGCTCCCACCATAGCATAAAAACAAAGGCTGAGTTTTTGAATGCATTGCTGCTACGGGACATAAGACCCCCACAAGGAATTTGCCCTCACACCTGTGATTTCTGTCTCTTGGTGAAACAGCTTTCACCACCGGGACCAGGAAGGTCCCTGTGGTGTGGACTGACAATCGATGAGTACCTCCCCCCCTCTAAAAACTTTCTTCCTGAACCGACCCTGGTTGGTGTAAGGTTAAGTTACGTTTATCTCTTCACATCAACTTTCTGAATCGACTCACGTCTGATTTAGGATTCAGGCTCTCCAGTCACTAAGAAACCCAACAGTTCTCAAGATCCTCAATGGATCCCCGCATCCAAGGACCGCGAAGAGTTAAACAAGACTCAAGGAAACACAGCAAACCCTATCAACACGCAGCTTGGCTAAAGGCTCAAGCCTGGACAGAAGTTAGATTAGCATGCGTCGTTGTTTTTGTTTTGATATTTACTGCATTGTTTTAACGACCAATCGCTGCCAGAAATAAACCAACTAAGATAACATTCTTTTCAAGCTGTACTTTCCCACAGTCACCTTTGTCAAACATCTTGATGTTCCACTTCAACCTGCTTGTCTGGAAACTGTCATTAAAACATTCATGACCTTTAGTTTGACTTATGTAACGCACTGTTACAGAAAACATGTTGTCCTAGTACGAGACTTGTCAAACAATCTGTGAAATCTTTTGCTAACTGGTTTCATTGCTTAGCTGTCGAGCGAATATAAAGTTATATACATAAAGTTCAGTCAGTTTGGCAAGAAAATTGAAGGAGAAGCATCCAGCAAGGACACCCAGAAGTGGAGCTAAAGGGGATTTAATCTACTGCAACATGGACGGAGAGTTCAGATATCAGTGCATAGAGGAGAAAAATCTGTAAATGTATTTCATGTAATTATGACACAGTAAATGCATATCAAAAGAAATACATCTAACTAAATATTGCACATCAGGGTTTTAGTGCTAACTAGAAAGAATTATGTATATATATATATGACATTGATACACATTAGCTGCTCTCTGCTGAGGGATGAGGAGAGCGGTGGACAAAAATCACAAGAAAAAGAATCTCAAGTGGGTTTTGTGGGAGGGTTCATGTAACTGTCATTCTGTAAATTCCTCTTCACTGACATTGTAAACAAACAAAGTTGATTTCCTGAATCACAGGTTTTATTTTCTGCAACTGCTAGATGGAAAACAAGGTAAAGTTGCTTGGTGAACAGTCCCACTGAGCTGTACATAAATTGTCATGTTCCTTTAAAGAGCGGAACCACACCGTGCACTGAGAGGAGATCATGTCAAAGGGCGGAGGAAAAAGGTGTGTCAAGGTGAAGCTGCACACCACAAGAAAATTCAGTAAACATTTTCACACTCAGTCTTCTACATCAAACTGTCGCTCTCCTGTAACTTCACCCACGACAACATGGACGGTAGGTTCATTTTCTTCACTGTTTGTTTCAGCTTTTTAGTTTATTTTAATAAAAAAAAATGTTCATGCTTGTGGGGCTTTGTTGGCATAGTTATGATAGGGAATGTTTTCAAAGTAAAGTACAAACTGCTTTACCTTTTCATTGTAACTTTTGACCATTAACAATATGTATTATAATTGAGCTCCTGTGCGTCCTGACAACCACCAAAAGCTAAATGTACAATATAATTGATGGACATTATTGTCTTTCAGAGGTGAGAATTGTAATGTTGGGAAAAACAGGGGTTGGTAAAAGCAGCGTGGCGAACACCATATTAGGAGAGAAACTGTTTAAGATCAGCAGTTCTGGCATCTCTGAAACAAGTGAATGTCGATCAGAAACCAGACGTGTCGATGGAAGAGACGTCACCATGATCGATATTCCTGGTTTGTTCGACACGGGTCGATCTGAAGAGGAGCTGAAGGCTGAAATAGTGAAGTGCATCACAGAGTGCTCTCCTGGGCCTCATGCTTTTATCATAGTGTTTAAGGTGGAGAGATTCACAGATCAGGAGCAGGAAGTGATCAATAAAATAAACAAACTTTTCTCTGAAGAAGCTTTCAAGTATGCAACAGTCCTCTTTACTCATGGTGACGACCTCGAGGAAGGACAGACCATTGAGCAATATTTCCACAACAATCAGCTTATGAGTGATCTGATGGAGAAGTGTGGAGGCCGCTGCCACGTCATTGATAACAAATACTGGAAGAACAACCAGCCGGATGATTACAGGTGCAACCAGTTCCAAGTGAAGCAGCTGATGAAGACCATCGATCACATGATTGAGGCAAACAAGGGAAGCTGCTACACCAACGATATGCTACAAGCTGTGGAGAAACTGAGACAAAAGGAGGAGGAAAAGATCAGACAGTCATCAGGAAACAAGACAGACATGGAGATCAGAGAGGAGGCTAAAAAGAGAGTATATAATATCCTTTGGATCAATTTCGCAGGTATTGCAACAGGTGCATTGTTAGGAGCTATTTTTAATGGCGACGTGGTGGTTGGAGTAGAGGCAGTTTTCCAGGAGATTATTTTGGAAAAAATAGTTCCAGCACTAGCAGAGTCAGTAGTAGTAGGAGCAACAGAAGGAGCTGGTAAAGTAGCAGGCTCACTGATGGCAGCAGGTTCAACGATCGGAAGAAGTTTTACAGGATACGATGCCGCTCAGGAAGCAGACACAGTCAGCGAAGCAATGGATAGGGCAGAAAAACCTGTCTTTAAGAAGTCAACTCTGTCTTTGAAGATCAGGAAGAACAAGCAAAGAACAAATCTGAATTAAAACCTTTAATCTGATTCTGAAGACGGAAAGAATGTGTC